TATCTATGCATATCTATCTATTTTTATTGAGATGTAATTGACATATAACATTAGTTCCAAGTGTACAATATAATATTCGATATTCGTATGTATTGTGAAATGATCACCACAATAAGTCTAGTAAACATCCATCACTATACATAGTAACACATTTTTTTTCTTGTGATGAGGAATTTTAAGATCTCTTCTCTTCAAACTTTTAAATATATAACACAGTATTATTAACTCTAGTCCCCATCCCTAGGACTTATGTTATAGCTGGAAGTTTGTGCCTTTTGATCTTCACCCAGTTGCCCACACCCCACCTTGTCTCTGGTGACCACCAATCTGTTCTCTGTATCTATGTGAGATATATAAGTATATATTACATGTATACATATATTTTAGATTCCACATACAGGCAAGGACGTGCATTTGTCTCTGTCTGAGTCTGTCAGCCTTTGTTTCTTTAGGAAGCTGGATACAGAAAGATCCATTTTCCTTGGGTGGCTGGTCGAACCCTCCCTTCAGGACAGTATTTATGAAGTCCGAAACTGATGCTCTTTTGTTTTTTCTTTCTTAAGAGGGCGTACACTCTTGAAGACGACCCCTGGAGCCAGCAGGCGAAGAAGCCTGACGCACCCGGGAGGGCGGGTGTCCTCTCTTCAGGGAAATATGACAATGCCTTGAAAACCATGATCCCCATCCGCCGCAAGCCAAAGTGAGTCCTGTGGGGAAGGTGAGGGCAGTGCCTACCAGGGCAATGAACCTGAGACCCTCACACCTGGACCCCTCCCAAAGGTGATATAACCATGTCCTGATACAGCCATGTCACCCACCACAGACAAGAACCTGCAGAGGAGCCCGAGGCACATCAGAGAGGCAGAGTTAGCACATCCGTTCGTTCATTCATTCATTCATTCATTCTTCCAACAAGGGTCCTGTGTCCCTACATGTGCCAGGCACATGCTAGACCATGGGAAATAGCAGTGAGTGACACAGATGTGGCCCTTGCGCATCATGGACCTCACATGTGNATCTTATTTGCTGGTGAATGAGGAGAAAAATCAATGTTTAGGCTTACTGTTTTAAGGTCGTGTTCAATCTAGTCATTTAAATAGTTCTGTTAGGCCAAGTTCAGTTAAGCCTCAGTCTCAGCGTTGCGCCTGGCAGAGGACGAGGCAGGGTCCTGGGCGCAGTGTCCTCCGTTCCCCAGGTTTCCCAGATGATGTCTCTGATCCGCCTGGTCCTGCCAGCCCGACTGTCACTCAGGGATCTGGTGTATGTGGGTCTTCAAGTGATGCTTTTGGCTTCCTCATGGCGCCCAGGGTTGCTCGGCCTCTGCTGCCCCACATTCCCCTGCAAGACCCTCCTGTGGTTCTCATGTGTTTGCAGCCTGGGTAGTCCATGGGGCCCCTCTGGGCAAGCCCCTCACCCAGACTTTCATCTACTTCTTGTTCCCATGTGTACCTTAGGCGAGCTGGGAGAGCTCCCCCCAGGCCCAGGCATCACTGGCCCCTAGAGCACTTAGGAGTGACTTGGATAAAGATGTCCCTGGTGGGAGCATTTAGAAAAAAACGCCGCTTTTTCCAGATGGATGCCACAGTGGTTGGCTGGAGCCTGGGTCATGAGAACCAACTGTCAAATCTTCAGGGATTTTGAGAGCCCAGTTGTTAAACACAAACATTAAAAGAGTTAAATTATATAAACTTACAACTGAATATGCTCTATCAAAGACAAGGGTAATACTCAAAATGTATTCTTCCTAATGATTTACTTCCTTTTACTATTACTTATACTTTTGAAGTCCTTGACATCCACTGTATCTATGGTGGAAATGATACGCAGGAAACGATGCTGTGCCTCTCTCCCCAACTCCTTACTCAGTAGGCATGATAGTGACGTGAAACCAGCCGTGGTGGGAATATCGTCACAAAAATCAGCAAAGGCTACAAATCAGGGCTTGTGTAATTACTTTGTTGATTGTCTAGGCTTAAGAAATAAATGCAGGAAATGTTAATAATGCAGATTAAATCGACAAGTGTGGGGTTCCCATGACCTTGGGAAGAGCAACCCCAGCCCCCGACCCCCCAAAAATGAAGACATATCTTTTAGGATTTGAAAACTATTCAGCAAAGTTACCAGGTCATTGGCAAATGAGTGAGACCCACCCAACATCCATCTGTGATGTTTCATTTTCTTCTCACTCGTTAACGTAAAGCAAAACGCCACGGCAACATTCATGTTGGATCTACACTTATTCACCAATTGCAACCAGAGGCTGGTTCCAAATACAAGTGTTTGTCGGCACACCATCGACGCAACCATGTGCCAGGGTGCATGACTTGCAATTTACAATTTGCTGACTCCACCCTCCTCCCCACGGCCATTCTCTCCACTGGTCAACTTTGTATAGTGAATAAACTGTCCAGCAATAAACACGGTCCTCCCCGCAGGGCCTCCTTCCACTGGATCCTGCCAATTTTACTTTAATATGTGACTATGTGCTAGGCTGGTTCATGGCAGCCNGGCCGAAGGGTTAAGGTTGGGAATCCTAAATTGAGGAGTTCTTCTGATCCCCAAATAGGGCTGTGGAAATGCACTTTACATGGAAAGCTATAGCCTCTTCCATCTTTCCCTCTGTGGTCTGACCTTGGCCCTGGGTTGTAGCTGCTGCCTTTGAGGATTAGGAATCCCAGTTCTCTGAAGAGAATAAGACAGGGTGCTGCCCTTGGAGCGGTTGGAAGTCAGCTGGGGAGGCCAGGAGACAGCACCCGAAGTGGGAGGGGAATCATTTGAGAGTCTGCAGCCCAGGGCTCATCCTGTCCTCCAGACAGCAGCCCCCTCTGCTCGGCCCGGGCGTGCACCAGATAACCACCCCCTCCAGAGAAGTCTGAGGGTGGAAGGGGGCTATGTAAGGAAAACCTCCAGTGGGACATTGGGGTCACACAGCACTCCACCATGCGGGATTAGACCAAAGCATTCCTGCTCCATTGGGGTTTATCTTTTGATTAAACTGGAAAAAGAAGGAGGTGGAGTGGTAGGTCCCCAAGATACCTCCTGGAGGTCACATCCTGGGGTCCTAAAAGCTGAAGGTGGTTTGCTATAGTCAGGGAAGGTCTCTGGGAAAGAGTGAGGCATGGTTTAGGCTTGAAGCATAGAGAGATTTTGAATATTAGAGAAGAAAAGAACATCTAAGGCAAAGGAGACTACATACGATCTGAACAGCAATAATAGTGAGAAATGATGTGGCTGGTGGACAAAGTTCTCCCCCGTATTTTCTCAGCGCTCCCAACTTTCTTCCTGTTCTAACTTTATGATTTTGGGCACTGTGCCAATGCAGAACAGAGCCTGTCGGGGGTGCGGCTAGGGGGGACCTGCTCCAAGTTACAGAGTTCCTCGCTGGCTAAGCTACGACAGGAACCAGGGTTTCAGGCTTGCAGACTCTGAGACAGCGCTCTTTCTACCAGTGTGTTCTGTCTCCTCCGAATACCAGCTTGGCCGCTACCACACGAAGGACCTCTTGTGGGAAGCTGCAGTGTCTGGCTTTGTGGCGTGCGGCTCAGGGATAGGGGCCTCTCGGGATGGCCAGAGCAGGCAGGGCTGTGACCCTCTGCACCTCGTCCCCTTTTCACCCAGGCCTTCCCCGTCACAGCCATCTGGAGTGTCATGCGGCTGGCGGTGTTCTTTGTGCCCTTCTCAGTCAAAGGCCTCACGAATTCCAAGTCTGCGGCAGAGAGGTTCAAGGTATTAAGTGCTCAGCCGACTGGCTGTGTGGCCCTTTGCGTTGGGGGCTCATTCGCCCTCAGCCCACGATGCTCCTCCTGAATGTGGGGATAGTGGTTATCTGGGGGCCGGGGGGCAGGGGTGCGGAGAGCTTGGAGGGCATGGAGAGCTGTGCCCACACTGAGCAGGGGGATGAGATGGGGCAGCACCCCGTTGATAGACACAAGTCCCGGCTTTTGGGTTCAGTGGCGGGTTCACGAATACCCATTATGTTATTAGAAATAATTCCACAGTAAGCACCCAACTAGCTGAACAAAATAAAGAGGGACATGCAGTTCCCAATGATGCCGGGATGCGTTGGCCCAAATACGATTATTAATCCAATGAAATAGACCTACAGTCCAATTAAAAAAAAAAAAGAAACAGACCTCCTCTTTTTTCTTTGGAAAAGAGTCTTTTTGCTTTGTTTTTGTAAAATGCTATGTGCTCATTGTCCAAAGTTCAGACAATACAAAAGGTACAGAGAATAAAAATNATTCCCCTATTCATGGTTGTTATTGTTGTTTCTGGTTTTTCACTATTACAAATAACAGAGTCATGAAAAAAACTCTTTTGTACTCTTTTGAGCACACTGCGGTTTTTACGTAGTTGTAATTCGTCCCCTTCAAAATCTTGTCCCGGTTGTAGTTTTCCCTCTCTAGGGCCTGTACCCTATGGTGACCAGTTGCATGTGGTTTCTAGATTTCCTGCCCCACAGCCCATGGATGACGCTGGCCTGTTCTCCTACCTCACGTTGTCATGGCTTACCCCAATCATGATCCGAGGCCTACGGAAACACTTAGATGAGAATACCATCCCCCATCTGTCAGTACAGGATGCCTCAGCCAAAAATGCCAAAAGGTAAAGTCATGTCGGGTAAGCCACAGGGTTGGTTAAAGACCATGTTTTGGGGGGATGGTATTGAGAGGTGCTTAAGAGTAGGTAGGGTCCACCTCAGATGACCAACGAATATCAGTTCTTCCTTTGCAGCGAGAGGCCTCACTCGGGTCTGGAGGTTCTTATCCTGGGGTTCACGAGTCTCCAGAAACGGTAGACATATTTGATACATATGGGGAGAGACCTTTTTCTGGAGCAAGAATTCACACCTTTTATCAGATTTGCCTAAGGGCCCAGGACCCCAAGAAAGTTAGAAATGACTGCTTCTAGTCCCTTTTGGTTTTTCTTCTGGATCAGGCCTTTGTCTGTGTCATTCAGTTGGGGGTTAGTGGCCTAGTCTCTTAGCCATGGAGTCACCGCTAACTGGTTATTTAAATTTGTGATTCAATTGGCTGTATTGCCCACCTCACAAGGTAATATGAGGGTCACATGGGGAAAGAAATGAAGACGTGACTGGAAACATTCTGCGCTGGTGCTCTCCCTTTAGCTACCTGATGAGAGACACCGGGTGCAGTATGGCATTTTCCAGATGTGTTCCTGAGACGAGCATTCAGTGGGCAGGGGAGTCCGTGAAATGTTGCATACCATTGCCAGGTCTCAGGTTCACAAAGCAAGTGAGTGTATTTAAGGCACTGAGAAAACAGAAGCTAGTTCAACTTTGACCCACTGCTTCTCAGACTTGCTCAATTAAAACAAAAGAATGGTTCCAAGGCACCCCTCTTGGGTAATGCCAGACATTGGTCAGAATCTTACCTCTTACCAGCTGTGACATCAGACAAGTTGCTTAGCCCTTTCGGGGCCCTGTGTCTTTCCATATAAAATGGTGGGCCACAGATGGTCCTCAGGGTCCTTCATGGGACTGTTGTAAGACTCAGAAGAGGTGATACATTTAGGGCAAAACACCTGGAAAATGCCTGATACAGGACAGACAACCAGTTAGATGTCAGTTTGTTCGTTCCTCCCTAAACACTGTGGGTACAGGGCCTCATGACTTACCGCCATTCGCTTCCAGTTCCCTGGTGCTGCCTCTTTTATTTGGGAACTCACAATGTCTG